CAAGGCTCCTCTGCCTCTAACTTAACTGAGAAAACGGCGTACTCCTCCCTGCAGTGACAGGCTGCACAGACAATGCGCCTCAGACTATGCTTCTATTTGTAGAGCTTTCTGCTGCTACACTGATAGGCCGCTGGAAATAGAGTAAGCTGTGAAGACACCTCAGACATCTTTCGTGTGTATCTTCGTCAGAAATCAATTGTTATGAAAATAAATATAAAGTGTTTCGGTTCGTAGACTGCGAGTTCCTGCTCTGTCAGCCGCCATCTGAAATTCGTCTTCTCTGTAGCATTGAACGACTCTGTATGCCGTCATGGTTTGAATCCCCAATGAGTGACAACTCATGCAAACAGACAGAACCCGCGACACAAGAGTAGAACAGGTGAAACAGACAAATCCTAAAGGGCGATGAAATCTTTGAGAGCAGCAGTCAAACGATTGATGCCGTGCTGCCTTTACAAGCAGTTGCATGCATGTATTCATGCGCACCAACATAAGCACTTCTCACAGTTTATTGCTCATGTGGTGGTACATACAGGGGCTACATGTTTATAAGCCGCCTGCTGCATATCTCGTTGCACTTTTACATATCAAGTGATGTGAAGCATTCAGCCGCCTCAAGCATTTTAACAGGCCACACTATAATAAATAATATATGATATATATACATATATATATATATATATATATATGTATATATATATGGAAAAAACAAAGGCTAACACAAAGCGACACAGAGCGGAGTAAGCACGTGCAGCTCTAATATTAAGTCATGGTAAGCAAACACCTAAAGAAACACAGACAGGCGGCTGGTGCGATCAACAGAGATGACGAACATTTCTGCGCGGATCCGCAGAACTGATGCATGCAACTGAATCTGCCTCAGTGCAAGCAACTGAGCTCACCTCAGTGCATACACCTGACATTACCACAGCGCATACAAATAATATTGCCCCCGCGCATGCAGCTCAAGCTGTCTCAGTGCATGCAAAGAAGGTTTCGGTCAGGCAGTAACAGCCCCTGACGAACTAAACATTCATGGAGTTCAGATGGTACTCTGCTTGCCCTCGTGCAGATCCCATCTTTCTCACCCCACGCAAACAAAACAACGCTATCACAGTTCATTGATGCAGCATATTCCCCCTCCTAGCTGGCTTTCTCCGTATCCTCGTCAGCATCTTTCCC